TGTCCTGTTTCTTCACTGTGTTGGCGTATAGAGGAAACACAGGGGTTATTCAATTTTTTTGCGTTTTAATAGAAATTCCCATATGTTCATAGGCATGACTTTTAAATGGCGTTTGGTTTTGCCAATATAGGAGGCCTTACAGTCTCCACACATGTAAAGATAGACAAGCCAAGAACAATAAGGAATGGGGAGGAGATCTTTAGTAGGGAAGAAATTTTTTATGCGTGACGTGGATTTAAAAACTAATCTTGAATCCACTTGAGGGTAGTTTTAAAAAATCAACTTAAACGCATACTTGGTCGTTTTTATAGATTTTCAAAGTACAGTTGCTAAATATAACGATAATTAAACAAATAAAACACTAAACAGTAATCATGGGTAGAAACTACAGCAAGAAAACACAACGAAAAAAAAATATAAAAATTTTAAAAAATTTAAAACCTTAAACAATGACCCTTTATCTGTTAGCATCCAACGTGAGGAAAAAATCCAAAGATATATAAGAGAACTAAAGAACAAAAATATTATATCTGAAAATGTTGCTTCTTTGCTTTATCCCACTGGCTCCCGTCCTGGTATGTTATACGGCCTTCCCAAAATTCATAAAACAGGTTCCCCCCTCCGACCCATTCTTTCCACTATAAGCACACCTGGTTACAAACTTGCTAAATTTATTGTACCTATACTTCAGCCACTCACTACTAATGAATATACTATCCCGGATTCCTTCCACTTTGAACGTGAATTAAGTCAACTACCCCCCTCAGATAATCTCTTCATGGCGAGTTTTGATGTTACCTCCCTCTTTACAAATATTCCCTTAAATGAAACCATTAACATATGCATATCTGAGCTTTCGCGTAATAACATTCCTCTAAATGGCTTTTCTGAAAATCAAATTAAGACCATGCTGGATCTTACCACTAAAAATTCACATTTCCTGTTCAACAACACCTTGCATGAACAAATAGATGGCGTTGCGATGGGCTCTCCACTAGGTCCAACTTTAGCCAGTGCATTTCTCTCTCATTACGAACACCTGTCCAGTTAACTTTAGGCCTGTTCTATACAGAAGGTATGTGGATGATACTTTTATTCTTTTTAATAACAGTGATCAATGCTCAAAATTTTTAGAATACCTTAACTCACAACATCCTGCCATTAAATTTATATGTGACGTTGAAAATAATAATAATTTACCTTTTTTTTTTAGACATGCTCATTAACCATAATGCTAATGGATTTTCCACATCAATTTACCGAAAAAAGACGTCCGCTGGTCTTCTTACACACTTTAATAGCTTTATCCCGTTTATGTATAAACGAAACCTTGTTACATGCTTACTAAACAGAGCTTACAACCTGTGCTCCACATATCTTAATCTACACTCTGAAATTTCGTTCTTACATGACATCCTGAAACGTAACTGCTATCCACAATAATTATTAGAAAACATTACCAATACCTTCCTAACAAAGAAACTCACAAATCCAATTAAGATACCAACTGTGCCTAAATTTACTATATACTCGTGTCTTCCTTATACTGGCAAACAAAGCTTAAAGACTGATGTAAATTCATTTATTCTGCTTTAGATACTGAAACGTTTATCCATGTCCCCTTTTTGTCAATAAACAATGTTGTATATCATAAGTGTCGTAATCTTGTTTATAATCAAACTTATTAAGGATTTATTTGTATTCCAAATAGTTAACTCTTTCAACATGGGCTTGGTCCCTGGGACTGACCTCATAACCATTTTCTGCTTGTTATAGTTTTCATACTATAACTTTTAAATTAGTAAGCTTATATTAACGAAATTTGGCAGATTATCAGTAAATATTACAGTGCTTTCATATGCAAGATATAAAATTTTAAGGTTTGTTAAGCTATGTTTATCTCATGCCTTTTTTTTCTTTTTGCATGTTGCCTATCCAACATGCAAAGTAATTTTCATTTTAAGATTAAAAATACTTTTGTGCATCAGAAAATTTAGAAATTTCGCATGCAAAATCTTTATAACATCCAGATAGTTATCAAACGTTTCTTAAGAAAAACTATATTTTATCTGTTATTTTCACTAACAAATCTCTATACAGGTTCAGTAGATTTGACCGATCTCGTAATCATCATAAAAAAAATTAGGAAATGAATATAAATTATGCCTCTTTCGTTCAAAAATGACAACAGATTATAAAATGAAAACATAAATATTTAGACAAAGTAGCTTAAATCTCGTAACAATATACATTTGTCAGAATTTTAAAATCTGTTCTTTATCAATTGTCAAAATAAAAATTCTTTTAGTTGTATTTCTTAATAGAATAAATATATACCATGTGGTTGTTGGGCGTATGGGTTTCTACTACAGTAGGTGTCTGTGACTTCTTAATGATAAATTCAATGATGAATAAATAGCACGCACTTCACTTGTTTTCAAAATAATATATATATTCAGAACAAGTTAACGTATGTACAATAAATTCTTCAACACTATAGATATTATGGGTATGTCATAAACACTATATATGTAATTCTCTCCTTCTTGTCAAATATACACTTAGGCCTATTCAATTACTTTAGAATTTCAGTTGACAAGCCAAGCTAACTTCTCTATTTCTATCACACTAGTACTCTCTGTGATTCACTTTCAATTGTGGTGCAAATTACCATAATCATGTGGTCTACTTTCTTTTGAAGATCCTCTGTTCCTTTTGTCAAAGTGCACTCAGGCTGATTCAATTAGTTTAGAACTATGCTTTGAGGGAATAAACTTATATTTTGTTATCTTCTTTTCTACTGTCAGTTAGGTAGGTCATTAGGCCTATCAAATCTACGGTACTTAACTTCACACCAACTTTATTCCCTTTTGCTATTACCTGTCTGCTTAAGTCTGTCTGCTGCTTCCCATTCATCTCACGCTACTTATATCATTATCACTTACTCGTCTGCCTGCCTTCTATATTCTCAACATCAATGAATTATTACCAAAACTTCCTACATTCGTCTGCTTTTAAATCTTATTATAACAAAAACTAAATGATAATAAAACATTCATTCACAACACTAAATTAATCAATACTATCTGATCAAAACAGTCTTTTATGTCATGACAACATTTATATATATTTATTATATTGACCTTTCAGCCATGCTTGGCTAACAATACAGAAGTTACAATGATGTGGCGCATGTGCACTCATGTTACCTTATCCAATAATATAAAACCGACCTTTAGTCTTTACAAAGTGACCTGTCTTGGCTGTGTTTAGTAGACTAGTATTTTGTAAAATAGTTACATTTCAATTATTATACATTATATATGTATATAGATTATTAATATTTAGAAGTTCTTAAACTTATTTTTCTTAAAGCATAGAACAATAAATAAAGAAGT